CACTACAAGTCTATTTTCCGACAATACATGCGTTAATGCGAGGTTAATACCCATAGAAAGGCTGAGCAGATAAGGTTTGCCGTGTTTAACACTGAATGGGGCGACTCATTATTCTTACATTGACTGCGATAGAGAGCGGCCTCAATGAGAACAGGGCTTCCAGTGGAGATAGCTTTGTATGTTTCATTTACAGAATGAAATGACAGAGTAAAAGGATATTAAATGGCCTTTGGTTATATGCCAATGTAATCTCAGTCATGGGGGAGGACTCCATGCACTGCACTGCAGTTCTCCCTTTCTCTGACACACTCATTCCACCGGATATAACATACCATCATGACCCTGAAGAAATATTGTCTTTGTCTACTTTCATGTTCATAAAAACACACCATGTGGTTTCAGGACTACTTTTTTGTCTTCCTGTTGTGTCTAATGGAAGCTGGACCTCCAGGCGCTGACAGATAATCAGAGCAGAGAGGAAAGTCACTCTGGGAGTTTGGAGTTTCTCCATGTTCACTCTCTCTGTTAGCTATAAACACAACAATGCTCATACACACAATAAAGCAACAATACATGACAATCACAGGCATCATTGGGAGTTGTCCTGTTTTCCTGAAGTCCGCTTTAAACTTTAGGGTTTAAAGAGTCCTCCCCTGTTGATGTTCAGGTGTATATCAGTTACATACTGATATACACCTGAACATCAACAGTGTCTCTACTTTAAAGAGTGCTCTCCTGCTGATGTTCAGGTGTATATCAGTATGTAGTGTCTCTACTTTAAAGAGACCTCCCCTGTTGATGTTCAGGTGTATATCAGTATGTAGTGTCTCTACTTTAAAGAGTCCTCTCCTGCTGATGTTCAGGTGTATATCAGTACAGTATGTAGTGTCTCTACTTTAAAGAGTCCTCTCCTGCTGATGTTCAGGTGTATATCAGTACAGTATGTAGTGTCTCTACTTTAAAGAGTCCTCTCCTGCTGATGTTCAGGTGTATATCAGTACAGTATGTAGTGTCTCTATTTTAAAGAGTCCTCTCCTGCTGATGTTCAGGTGTATATCAGTACAGTATGTAGTGTCTCTACTTTAAAGAGTCCTCTCCTGCTGATGTTCAGGTGTATATCAGTATGTAATGTCTCTACTTTAAAGAGTCCTCTCCTGCTGATATTCAGGTGTATATCAGTATGTAGTGTCTCTACTTTAAAGAGTCCTCCCCTGTTGATGTTCAGGTGTATATCAGTATGTAGTGTCTCTACTTTAAAGAGTCCTCCCCTGTTGATGTTCAGGTGTATATCAGTATGTAGTGTCTCTACTTTAAAGAGTCCTCTCCTGCTGATGTTCAGGTGTATATCAGTATGTAGTGTCTCTACTTTAAAGAGTCCTCTCCTGTTGATGTTCAGGTGTATATCAGTATGTAGTGTCTCTACTTTAAAGAGTCCTCTCCTGCTGATGTTCAGGTGTATATCAGTATGTAGTGTCTCTACTTTAAAGAGTCCTAGTCCTCTCCTGCTGATGTTCAGGTGTATATCAGTATGTACTGTAGTGTCTCTACTTTAAAGAGTCCTCTCCAGCTGATGTTCAGGTGTATATCAGTATGTAGTGTCTCTACTTTAAAGAGTCCTAGTCCTCTCCTGCTGATGTTCAGGTGTATATCAGTATGTAGTGTCTCTACTTTAAAGAGTCCTAGTCCTCTCCTGCTGATGTTCAGGTGTATATCAGTATGTAGTGTCTCTACTTTAAAGAGTCCTAGTCCTCTCCTGCTGATGTTCAGGTGTATATCAGTATGTAGTGTCTCTACTTTAAAGAGTCCTAGTCCTCTCCTGCTGATGTTCAGGTGTATATCAGTATGTACTGTAGTGTCTCTACTTTAAAGAGTCCTCTCCAGCTGATGTTCAGGTGTATATTAAATGGACCAGACACTTGTGATGTTTTGGGTTGGATGGTGGAAGGCCTACAGTTTTCCGACAGCATTATTAGACACCTTATTGACGCATTCTTCTATAGCTGATGACATTATTTGGCACTTTGTTTTAAGTACTTTTGGCGAACCATTTAGCGCATTATTTTAATCACATTATTTTAATCACATTATTTTAATCACATTATTTCTGAAGTTTGCTTGATCAGAATAATGGTGTTTGGATTTTGGACAATGAGTTTTCTCTGGAAAATCAACCAGAAAGTAATAAATGATATTGAACATCTAGTTCATTCTTTCTCTTTACAGTATATATGTAAAAACTGACTTAGAATAACTTATAATGACCACTTGCCTAACTCTATCTCTTGCCTCCTGTTGGTCATATAACTCATGGAGCACTCTGCTGTAGCTGGCAGACCGACCGCAGCAGATCGTGTGCTCAGAAACTTTTGTCTCTTGTCATCTAGTTGTTACAACAAGGCAAAGGCTTCTGACCCATGCAGCCACAGCGAACCGTCAGCGACTGATTTGTGAAACTAGCTCTGTCACACGCTCCCACACCATGCCACCAAATAAAAAGGAGCCACAGAACCACACAATAATGATGCGGGGGGGGGGGGCGGGGCAGCCTCAGAATTACAGCTCTGAGATGTGTGGTGTTGTTTGACATTCAAACATGTCGGAGTGCATTTGTGAACCTAAAAACCCAATATGCAAGATATTGTTTGTATTAATCATGATTTAACCATACAGCAAGCCAGCTAACTACTAGCAACAAGGGACAAGTCCCCCCCCAAAGACAAATACTTATGTATATTTAACGAATAGAGCTTCACAGTGTGGGCAGTTGATCAATTCTAAATGCACCTTTTGTGGCTTTCTTTTCAATGCAAATTCGATGTGAAGGGGCCAAAGCACAGCATACTTGACTTGACAGTCCATGATGTGGCTGACGCAGGTTTGAAATCCGGCCCCCAGCCCCTTAACACGCCCCTCTATCTCCCCCATCCAAATTAAGGCTAAATTGGTCTCAAAAAAGGTTGTTGTTCCCACTGTGAGGGGAAGTAGCTTTAGCCAAACTGCCAGGCATAGAGACAAGGAGAATAACGGCTGAAAAGTAACGTAGATGATTTCATAGCCACATGCTATACTCTCTATCAGAAGGAAGGTACAGGGTCAGAAATGTAAATGAATAGTCGATTTGGCTCATAAGAGAAATATCACTTGTTTTCTGGGCTCTGACTTGTGAGTTGGATTGTCGTGACAAACAAACAGCTGCTTTATTTCACACACAGACAGGAACAAAGAGTGTAATGATATGGTAAGGGACCCCTTACAGAGTGCATTTACCGTGAATCTATTACAGTGATTTGCTCGGTGACTCTCACTGTCACCAGAGAAACAAAGAAAAAGTGTTTTTTATCATGAAGCTACAGACTCGGAGAGAAGAAAGAAAGAAATACTTATTTAATAAATGCATAATATTTATTACAAAAAACGTATTCTCTGCACCCTATCATCATATCTAATATTGTTAATGGAAACATTAGTATAGCTGGCCTTATTGTGGGATGCATCCTGAGCACAGTCATTAACCTCTCATCTTAAACTCTGACTGGAAACAACATGTCTGACCTCTGACCTTCACCCTGACCTTCTTTGTTTCAGTCTGTGAATCAAAAATGTCTTAATAATACAATTGAAAGCCAAACTCAGAAGTAAATCCTCCACCTCACTCTGTCTCATCACATTTGTCATCTTCACATCAGGGACATCTTTTACAGAATATCAAACGTAGATGAGGCTCTGGTCGACCAAGGTCTTTATTGTGAATGAGATGAATATATTCATCCCCCCCGCTGCTGCTTGGGTTGGTCCTGGGAACGTTTGGAATGGTTCCCTCCTGGGATGCTGCTGCTCCGCCCGCTCCCTGGACGGGTTATTAGAGGAGCGGCTCTAATTGTCGTCCCCCCCATCATGCAGCGGCAGCTCTGCCTGCACTGTGACTTAAACAGAGAAAGTGTGTTAGTCTGACATCACATGAAGTATATTTGCTTTTAGAAGGTGTCTGCAAAATTGCCCAAAAAATCTTGGACATGTTGACCGCAGCAGGTGGGGATTAAACCCCTGACCCTCTGATTGGTCGATGCCGTTATTGGACTAATCACAGAGCAGGAATTTAATTTGACTTTGGAGGATGTTGAGCACAGTGAAACACAGATTATGACAGTTTATTACACATTATTTAAACACTAACAGGAACAACAGAAGAAGACAGACAGGAATAAACACACAGTTTGAGCTCTGCAGTGTTTAAGGACTTGTTAGTGGAAAATAAACTATATAATATATCTAATATCACCCTGCCGGGTGTTCTTTTTTCTTTAGTGACCGTCTCATTGCACATTATCCCCTACATTTAGAACTTGAGGGTTAACGCTCAACAGTAAAAGGAACAGTTATTCATCTTTATCTGGAGCCCTCCATGATGAGTTTCTCACGATGTGAAAGTTAGACTGTATTCATTTCTCACTCATTTGAATAGTTTTCTGTACAGATCACCTTAGGTTGAGTGAGCGGATCCTGCAGGCTGCTGAGCCAAAGCTGGAGAGAGTTAATGATGTCTGTTGGCAAGCCTGAAGATAAAAGAGTTTCATGGAGAGAGAAAATGTCAAACACATCTTCTGCTGGCCTTTTCATCTCATGTCTAAACTCAGAATCATGTCGGGAACTTTGGTGTGCAGCGAGACAAAGCTTTCCAGTAATGAACCCTACAGCAGGGAACAACATGCAGGAGCAACTGTTAGTGATTGGCTGATCTTAAGCTTTGATTCACTTTCATGATCACTGTGCTTATGGCTCATGTCTTGATCAGAATGATATGCAAGTGGTGTGGGAAGATGGTGGTGGAAAGCATGGTGTAAGAGAATATACAGTGCAGTGAACCCTTACCCGGCCAACACAAGGAGTTAAATGTCAACAAAAAGCAGAGCTGTAATGAGCTGTGATTTTGTTCGAGGAGCAGATGATGATTTCACCCCGGGGTGGGGGTCAACACTTAATGGTGAAACTTGTAATGTTGATTTTGCCTCTGCTGTGTTTTTTTACAGGATGAGGGCTGCGCTGCTGCTGCTGCTGTTTCTCACTGTCATCTCTGTCAGCGCTGCTGGGGGAAAAAACAAAAAAGGTACGATTCTTCATCTAAAAATTGCCATTTTTAATATTTAGTATCCCAAACTTGTTATGAATTAATATCTGTTCCATTTACATGTGAATGAGGACCCGGTGAATAGTATGTTTTGCATAAATATCTTCTGAAATGTATTGTCATGTTTTTTTCAGCATATAAGCTAACTAACTAGCGTAGAGAGTGATATGGTGAATATTTTAGCACTTTAAAAGTACAAAAACCCACTCTTACCTGTTCCCATTTCCATTTCCATAAGTCACAGTGCACATTATGTTTGTAGACAGACACAGAACCCTTACACTGTGATGCACTCAGCTGCTTCATGGCCACACATCTCATTAACCGGGATGTTTTCCAAGCTGCTAATAGCATGTTTTCTATTGGCTAAAGAGAGAACACCCTATAGAAATCAACACAAACACATGTCTAATAATATACAATCTCTGCTACACATTTCGGTAATAACTGGTTATGCATTTTATTCCATCCTCAGAGAAAAACAAACCCTTGCAGTCTGGGTCAGAATGCACTGACTGGCGCTATGGCAACTGTGTCCCTAGCAACGGGGACTGTGGACGTGGGTTTAGGGACGGGTCATGTGACCAGCAGAACAAGAAGATGAAATGTAGAGTACCGTGCAACTGGAAAAAAGAGTTTGGAGGTAATGCTCCCAAATTTGGTAGAACCCCAAAGATATATTCACACACACACACACACACACACACACACACACACACACACACACACACACACACACACACACACACACACACACACACACACACACACACACACACACACACACACACACACACACACACCACTTCATTACCTGAATGTTAGTCCAGAAACAGTAGCTGCAAGCACCTGTAACATATGATGTAACATATGATGCAACACATTGCAGCAGTCCCCCTTCATAAACACACACCTCTGTCTGGCTATAACTATACAATTTGTGTTGACACTGTGTCTGGGATGATTCAACTCTCAAGATTCAGCCCCAAATGTTCATGACACACTTTGTGTCTCGGATAGCTCAGAGGATGACCATGGGTGTTGCATTGCTATGGAGGTTGATTTTCTCCTTTAATTGGAGGAGACCTGCACTGCTAATGTCTTATTTTTCCCACAACAATTTGTACTGTACAGGGTTTTTTCAGATGGAACAAACTGGATCAGCGGTTGCCTAAAGCAAAGTGGCTTGTACTCAAGTCAAGATTAACTTAAAGTGCATTTTCACATGAAAGCGCCTCAACACAATTTACAAGACACAACGATAAGTACTACAAGGAAGTGCAAATGAAAACTTAGTACTATAGGTGGTGGTAGGTTTTATGTTTTAAACATTTTGAGTAAGGAATTCAGTATTCACTTTTTGTGTAAGTTGGACACAAGGATTTCAATGTGGACACCAGTGTGACTGACCATATGGCATAATGTTGCCTCAGATATCCAGGATGGTCAGCATTGATTATGAAACTATTTTTCAAGTTTTTAATACTCTTATCAACATATGAGTGGACAAATATGCTTTATATGTTTGTTTATTATCATTTGAACAATGACAAATATTCTCATGAATATTAAACACAACAACCTCTGAACATTACAAATATTCGCCTCAATTCAACCTGGAACCTCTCTCATACAATAATACAGTGTGTGTGTGTGTGTGTGTGTGTGTGTGTGTGTGTGTGTGTGTGTGTGTGTGTGTGTGTGTGTGTGTGTGTGTGTGTGTGTGTGTGTGTGTGTGTGTGTGTGTGTGTGTGTGTGTGTGTGTGTGTGTGTGTGTGTGTGTGTGTGTGTGTGTGTGTGTGTGTGTGTGTGTGTGTGTGTGTGTGTGTGTGTGTGTGTGTGTGTGTGTGTGTGTGTGTGTGTGTGTGTGTGAGAGAGAATGTGGAGACACTGTGTGATGGATCGTTGGAGCTATGTGCAGCTCAATGCATATATGCTCGAACGTGTGCTGCCTGGACGCTGCAATCATGTAGCGCGCACTATCCGTGCTGAGTGTGCTGACTTTTCGTACAATGTCCCACTGTCTGGCTACCTGCATAAAGTCAAGTGCTCGGCGCAGTTGTCGGCGAAATGTCATTGAAACAGCTCCTTATATCCGTTAGCGCAGCTAGCTAGCACCAGATGCTAACAACAACAACACGTAAGGTGTGCCTCGCTCGCGCGAGTCGCGCCACACATACACACTCCCTCCCGGTCCTCCCGATGGCCAGTCCGGGCCTGCAAGTGAGCGTGGAAGTGTGGTCTGCCACAAGCGGGCGGCAGGAGCTGGGCTGTCAGCATCATCATGTAGATGGTATTTTAAACTCGATGCGCTCTGAAACTACGGGGCGGCCGAGGACAAAAAATACACATGCGTTAATCGCGTTAAAATAATTAGTGGCGTTAATTTTTTTTTGCGTTAACGCGTTATTAACGCGTTAACTTGACAGCCCTAGAAACTATATAATCCCTGCATCTACATTCTGTGCACGGACAATGCATATTTCTTTGCAGCTGCTGATGCTACACAGCAGCGTTTTGACAGGGGTCACATGTGGGTGTTGCAGGGGTGGAGCATTGATTGGCCTGGTTGAGGTCAGTCAACTTTTGATCCCCCCCCGCCCCCAAGCTGAAGAAGTGTAAGCTCCTTCAGAAGCTTTCTCTCCAGACACATAATGGCCCCCACACAGGTCCAGGTCACATGGTGTCAGCTTTCATCCTTGCTGCTGTACGACACAGAAGACTAGATTTAGATTTAGTCTAAAGGCTAAAGGCACATGTAGCAGTGATTTTTGGTTCTCTGAATAAAATGTCCCTGGCCCTCAGGCAAAAGAAATCCTGCATGGGAGGGACCGGAGGCCATTTTTGGAAGAAGTTCCATAGAAGTAAAACTAATCATCAAATCACCTTATCCACAATGGAGATTCTGAACCCCACTATACTATACTATAATATACTATACTATAATATACTATACTATAATATACTATGCTAAACTATACTATACTATAATATACTATACTATAATATAATATACTATACTATACTATAATATAATATACTATGCTAAACTATACTATAATATACTATACTATACTTAACTATACTATACTATGCTAAACTATACTAAACTATACTATACTATGCTATGCTATACTATACTTTACTATCCAAATCGATACTATACTTAACTATGCTATACTATGCTAAACTATACTATACTATACTATGCTATACTATACTAGCATACTATACTATGCTATACTATACTTAAAGGGCCCATGTCATGCTTTTCCGGTTATTACCCGTCCCCTTGTGTGTTATGAAGGTTTATATGCATGTAAACGGTGTGCAGAGTCACAAACCCTCAAAGTACACCCTGTAGCGAGTAAAACTCTAACACAGAAAATACCTCCCCAAAACGCCTCGTTGGAGATACGTCATTGTCCATTTGATTCTTCCATTTCGTTCCGGGTACGGCATGATGTCAAGCCGTACCTGGAACGAAATGGACCAATCCGTGGAGCAGTTACGTTACGTCCGCGGAGCCGTTACGTTAAGCCCCCGCTGATTGGTTCAAATTGACCAATCCACGGACTTCCTCACACACACATCTGTGTGCAGGGAGCAGGCAGCTCTGCTGATTTCTCCTCCCTGGCTGCAGGCTGATAACAGACAGTTGGGATCGCGTCAAAATTCTCTCTGCAGACCCATTCTCACAGCGTTTATCAACCTTTTTCTTACTCAATATCAAGCCACACTTATTGTTTTTACTTCGGCTGTGACTTTGTGTGTGCTCAAGATGAGTTTGGCTGTGTTTCGCTATGTATCCTAAACAAGGAAACAACACCTCCACGGAGCTCAGCGCGATTCACAACGTCCCGACCAATCAGAGCACACTGTGCTCACAGGGAGGGTGGGGGCTGGAGCTATTGGAGCTACAACGAGCCGTTAAAGGCAGAGAGTGAAATTCAGTGAATACACGTAGTTTACAGAGATGCTGTATGAGAAACCAATGTGAGTTTGGAAAAATGCACAATATAAATCTATTCTAGTAGACCTCAACAATGGAATTATGATCAGTGGAAATAGCCATGACATGGGCCCTTTAACTATGCTATACTATGCTAAACTATACTATGCTATGCTATACTATGCTATACTATACTTTACTATACAAATCGATACTATACCATACCAAAACATACCATACTATACCATGTCATGTAATGCCATACTATGCACTATACTATACAATATTATACTATACCATAGCATACATTACCATAACATACCATACCATACGTTATACTTTACTTTACTGTACTATACTATAGGAAAGTTTGTTAAATATTTGTTTTGTTGTTATTCATGTTGAGTTGACATATCTAAAGCTATCTGTTATCATCAGATCAATATGATGTTAAATGTATCTTAAGGGACATTTAGACTGTGTCCATTTGCAGCATTAGAATTTAAGGTCAAATTGTGTTGCCTCCTTCTTATGATAATATGACTAGTAGATATTATTTTCTAAACTTAACAATTATATTTGCCTTTTATGATATTCTGTGCAGGTTAAACTTTGGAAATATGGAGGGATGTTTAAAAAACTAGAGCATAAACAAAGCTACCATTGCTGCAATGCTATCATGCCTTCATGCATTTTTCAACAAAACAGAATTATACCTTAAAGGAAAATCAGTGTAAGACATGGTCAATCCACATTGGCATGACCAACAGCAAAATAAAACATATTTTCTGTGAATTCTGGAGGTTAATAATGAATCAGTGCAGACCCATGTAGTGCTAGGTTGTACTTTGACATCAGCTGTTGCATATATGCGCAACGGTGAGATCTGTTTAATGAGCAATACGAATGAAATGTTTATTCTAAATATGTGATATGTCTGTTTGTACTGCCTTCATTTCTGTGTTCTCTCCCTTCTAGCTGACTGTAAGTATCGGTTCGGCAGCTG